CAACAACAACAACAACAACAACAACAACAACAACAACAACAACAACAACAGCAACAACAACAGCAGCAGCAGCAGCAGCAGCAGCAGCAGCAGCAGCAACAACAGCAGCAGCAACTGCAGCAGCAGCAGCAGCAGCAACTGCAGCAGCAACAACATCAACACCACCATCAACAACAACAACAACAGCCACCACAATCACAGCAATCATTTTCTGGTATTTATTTTTATAGTGAAACATTAAACAATATTAAAAATTATTTGATTTAATATTATTTTTAGTTTCAGAAAGACCTGAAACTAGTCTAGACCAAAAATACCAATCTCCTATCAATGAAGTTTCATCAATAATAAATGATCCTAGTTCTATGTCTCAATCCATAGCCAATCAAAATGTTTCTGTTGGAAGACATAGTGATATATTACAACACCAATCTCAACAAAATTCTATTAATGGTAATCACCTTAAAATATAATGAGTAATTTGTCTAATTTACATTTTAATATTTTATTTAGGTACTGATAATGTAGATAGCAGAAATGAAGAAATAACAGATAGTGTTACAGATGAATTAGAAAAACTTCAACAAGAAGGAGATACAAATAATATTGGTGAGGTTGACGGGGTCAATGCTCTTTTGGGGGATTTAGATGATGATGATGAACTTTTAGGTAAATTTATTTATAAATGCATTTAATTTTATTTTTATAAAACTAAAATAATTGTATAAATGTTGGTTTGTAGCTGAAATGGGAGATGATTTTAATATACTGGAGTATGCTGATCCAGAACTTGATAACTTAGATTGTGGTAATAAAACAAACATTTTATATGATCTTGTTGATGACGAGGAACCCAATAAAAGTACACATCACAAAACAGTATCAAATGATAAGTCTTCAGAAGAAATTGAGACTAAAACTAAAGAAGAAGTAGATGATCTACCAAGATTAGGTAGTCTAAATGATAGAAAAGAACAAAATAGTATAACTCAAGCTTTAGGAATTGAAAAGTTTGAACAAGATATTATTAATTCGCCAAAAATTGAAAATTCTTCAAACGTCAGTACACAAGTAATTTACATATTAATAGATGTAATAAATAAGAGCTATACATTTTGTTTACTTTTGATTTATTTTAGATTGTTCAAGATAATCAAATGACTAATGTAATGCAGAACAGGGAAAATAATTTGAATTTTATATCAAACTTTCCTGGAGATAATCAAATACCTAAAATGACACCTATTGGAGCAGGTAAAGTATTGTTTGATCAAAGATGTGCATACATTTTGATTGTATGTATTGTTAATAATTGTATTTATAGTTCCTATACAGCAACATCGGCTAATTCAAATGCAGCGTACAGTTGTGCCTAATCGTATGATGGGTGTATCTCAACAGATTATACAGCAAGGCACTGTTCAACAAACTCGACAACTCGCTCCACCACCACCTTATCCAGGTCCTCCACCACCTTATCCTGGACAACATCAGGTAAAATATAATTTAATCTGTCATTTTTATAGTTTAATAGTAGTTTAATTTTATGTAATTTCTTCAGTGGTTTCTCCTATTTTGCATTTAGATTTTTTTTTTGTAGATTTCCATTAAGAAAGCATGCCTTTTTAATCAAATATATTGCCAAAAACATTTAATACGTTTATTGAGTGTTTCTAAGTATTATTATTTTGGCTTAATTTTTTTGATTTATGTGTATGAGTATTAACTAATCATATTATTTAAAAAAATAAGGAAAGAAAAATATGTTATATATCATATTAATCTATTTTCGGGTGAAATATGTCTAATTTATTAGTTTGATAATACATATATAATTATTTGGGACTAACAAATGTGGCCCTTCAGGTCCGTATGAGGGCTTCTTTACCACTCAATGACATGGTACCACTCGGTCTTAAGGGCGTTCAAATGCAGAGAAGACCATTGTTGCTTCAGGTAATTAGAAGAATTGAGATGATGATATGTCATGAAATTAAATTCTATAAAATAAAAATCAATTTATTTACATTAATTAATTAAAACAAATAAAAATCACATGCACTATACAATTTTTGTCGTATTGTAATTAAAAACACAGAATACCAAGTATAAATTTGAACTATGTGTTGACTCATAATATGAAATGTAACTTAAATTTAAAATTATTTCATGAGATAGGTATATAATTTAAAGAATATATGTTTTTTAACAACTTTATGATGAGATGGGTATTTTCACTCCTATATTTAATATGCAATTATATGTATATTTTTATAAAATTATAATTATATTAAAATATTTCAAGCACTGTAATTTAGTAAATTTAATTTTAAAATGTTTACAAGTGTGGATTATAAAATTTATATTGTAAATTATTTTCCAATTATATATTTATTTAGAATTCTAATTTGAAATGAGCCTTATTTTTATGAAAACGTATTTGAAGTATTTAAATATTTTTTAAATATATATTTTATTCCAATTTTAAGAATATTTTTTAGTTTTTATTCTTAAATTTGTTTTTTAACTTTTAATTCAGTAAACCTAGTATTAGATTTACTCATTCAATATGAGTATAACAATAAATGTTTTTTGTTGACTGGGCTTAAATCAGCAACTGAGCATAGATACAGTTACCATATTCCACTTTGTAATTACCCCTCCTTAAGTTAGATATAGTTACATCTATAAAATATTTATGAAAATTACTATTTTAAACTTGTATCTTAAATAAAATCAATTAATTATTAAGTAACAAAATTAGAAAATGTGAGATTGCCTTTAAATATTTTAAAGTCATCATTTTCAAATTTCATTTTCATTTTTTGGGTAGGTGATTTAATTAAAATATTAAAAAAGTTATGTTTTTTAATTATTGATTAAATTTTTATATTTTTTGTTTATATATGTTATTTATTAATTTGTAATTTTTTTGAGTCAAAACATAGATAGTTTTTTGTGTATTTTATTTATTTAGCTCAATTTTCACTATTTAGTACACTAAATCTAGCACCAAATAATATAAATATGTTATTAATAACAAGGTTTGAAATCATAAACATTTAAAATCAAATCAATAAATAATTGATTTGAAGTCTTAATGTATTAATTATTAATTTATATATATTTAAAATATAGTAAATGTGATGGCAACATGTTTAGGATACATTTTTTTTCAAAGATATTAAATGTATAGTTTCAGGGAGGTTTCCAGTATTTTATTTTGAGGGTGGTTTTAGTTTTTAACGTTAGTATAAAATTTACGACTAGATTATTAAAATAAGTAAATATAACCTGTATAAATGTATACATTATAACTATTATTTTTATATTGTCAAAGATAAACACATTTACAGACTTAACCTAATAAAGTTATAACTTCATAGTTTATACTAGTATGCATATTGTATGAAAAAAAAAAAAGATAAAAAATATAATTTAATTAAATAAAGTAAAAAAAAAGATGAAAAATTCTTCATTTAATATAACTCGTAAAAGCTGATGAACTTAGTAGTTGATATTTCTTTACTAAATTTTCTAAATTTTTTAAGGGATTAACAATTGGAATAAACATTCCATCTTACTGTTTAATATAGTCATGTTTTAAAACCCATATAGTTTCATACATAATAAAAAGTGTTACTTATTAATATTAGACTAAAGAGTATTTTGTATTTGTATAGATTTTTTTTAAATTCCAGTTCATCAATCTGAGTCCTGAAAAAAGTGTAAATACTTAAAATATTTCTAACATAATTTTGTATTGTGGTAATTTTACATGCAACACTAATGGCTAAGTTTAATGAGTGCGCAATAAAATGCATTATAAGGCTCTTGGAAATATGCGTCTTATTATTACGTGAACTCCATTAAAATATCTAATCATTGCTGCATGCCACCACATTCTTATCCAATCATTTTTTTGAAATCAATGTTTGACATTTTTTTAAAATTACTGATGATAAACCAGTCATTTAAATATAAGGCATCTACAAATTTAAAAAAATCTCCCTGAATTGTAAATATTTTAGTGTCAAGATCGTTATATCAAATACATGTTAACATTTGTTTTTATCTAGCATATCATTCGTTTCAGCTATTACAAAAAGAAAAAAAAAACTTGTACGGTATATTTTACTAATTTTTTGTCAGTAATTGATCACAAATTTCAATCAGCATATTTTGTGTATTGGCACTGCACTGAGCATTTGCTCCCCCCCTTTTCTAATTATTTTTTAAAATTTCATTGCTAGTATTTGCTCTAAATTTTAAAAGGGTGTGAAACATTCATTAGATTATATTTTCCTATGCAGTATTAATTTTATCGGAATCGTTTTTACTTTAGTTGATAGTTCAAAATTACTATATAGAATAATTGTTTTTACAATTGAACATAGTGTTTAGATCGATTTTGAATTATTTGTTGTGTATATTCTGATTTTAAATGTTTGATTATATTTTTTTGAAATAACAATTTAATGAAAATCATCTCTTTTTTTAAATAATTTATGATAATATTTACTTTGATAGAAATTTAACTTTGGTTTAGCATTTTTCTACTGATTAAAAACCTTTGAAATCAAAAAACTCAATCATGTTCATGATTTGAATAACCAAATTATTTGCTTGAAAATATAATGTAATATGTTCATATTAGTTATGTGAAATATTGATGAACAAAATTATATTTCACTATGGCTGTTTAATATAGTAACTATATGTTTTTTTATTTTATAAAATATTTTTTGTAGGGGGGTTAAACCTCCAAAACTACCTCTTTGGCATGTTCCTGAATAGCTCTAGTATTAATAATGATTTACACGGAAAAAAAAGAATGTAAATAGAAATGGGTTGTATTAATTCATGTATTTTTTGATTTAATATATTATTAATCAAGAAACTATCTCTAAATAAAACCTTGGTTATAGTCTGATTATAAAATAAATTAAAACATAGTTGATTGGCCATCTTCATTGATGGGAAAGGAGTCTAAAAATAAGTTCATGATTGTAATGAAAATAATCTTTTATCATTATGAAATAATGATTAATAGGTATAAACCAAGGACGAACTACTAGCAGGTGTCATCCAGGTCACATACTTTTTTTATCCAGCTTGTGCTATATTTTCAAATTATTTCAAACATTTTAGTGTTTGTATTTAATTTTATCACGTTAACTGTATAATTTAGATAATATATTTTTCTATAGTATTGAACTCCAGCTAAATCATTAGGTGTCTAAATTTAATATATGTCCATATTGGTATAGATAACTTAGCTATAGGTATTAGGCACATATTTTAATGTATTGATCCAATCATAAAATTTAATTATTTAAAATAAATGCTAATTATCAATTTGAATAACCTTTTTTTCATTTTTACTTTTTTTGCCTCCCAGATTTTAAAGTTCTAAAAATTGTCCCTCTAGTTAATTTGAGTTGTCCATCTTTCGTATAAACTTTGATTTAAAGTATGTAGTTGTTTTCTTAAATTCAAAAAATCATTGAATACAGTTATAATAATTATATTTTTTGCTATTTTAATAATTTAGTTTGTATACTGTGAAAATATAAAATTAGAGTTGAAAATGTTGTTATGGTTTTAACATTTGATTATGTATTATTATTATTATTATTAGTTTTTTTAGTAATTAGTTAGAAATTAACAAAAGGTCAATATTTTAAAGAATAAAGTAATTTTATTAAAAATAATGAAATAAATATTAATATCTTAATATTTATTTTTATTACTTGTTGAAAATTTATATTTTTGCTACATGCAAAAATAAGTAAAATGCAAACCATTTATAGCTTTTTCTTTTTTTTTTTTTGCTATTTGAACAATATATAATTATTTAAAGTGTCAATAAATAATTTCATCATCCAAACTGAAATAACGACTTATTTAACATTTATAATTATTAAATTATATAATTTATACAAAAAAATATATTTGATAATTAAATAAATATATTACTATTTACTATTCTAAATTTTTTTTATAAAATAGTTTATTTAGTACATTTTTTTTTTTTTTTTAATATTTAACCGATAGCTGAGAAGATTTTGTTTGATCAATGTTTCTCCTCTGCTGCCATCATTTGTAGATGTATAGTATATACAATAAGCATAATAAAAATATTACGTCAGTTGCAGATTATGCTGCATCACCTTAACAAAATTTAATATACACAAATTATAATTAGAAATTATTGTTCACCAAACTGATCTCATTTGATGCACTTAGTACACTTTGTTAAATAGTAGTTAAGTTTTTTTTTGATTGGAAAATTATATTAACCAGTGGTTATTTTAATAAATACAATTTTATGTTTGTAAATATATGTATTTCATGTATATTCATAGTTTGTCTTACAGGAATAAAGCTTTGTATTTAGGTGTTTTTTTTTACTATGTTGATATTTTTGCACCTATTATTAAAAACTATTTTAGTTGTAATTATATTAATCTTAAAGACTCATGATTTTTATCATTGTTAAATTTAAAATACAAAATAACTGTTGAATTAATGAATATAAAAAATATATTTTTTAGGAACAGCCTTTATTATTGGAAGATCTTTTAGAACAAGAAAAACGAGAACAAGAAAAACGACAGATTGTTGATTCATCTGGTGTTAGTAATAATGTTTCATCTAGTGGTTCATCGCTTCCTTCTTTAATGAGTGATGCTGATTTTGAATTTTTGAGAGCTGATGTTATGAATTCTTCTACTAATGGTACTGCTATTGATTCACCGCCTATAATTCAATCAAGTAATTATTTTAAGTTTTTTTTTATATATAATATAAATACTTGTTATAAAACAATTAACAATTTCAAGGTGGTTCAGGAGTTGTACAACAAGTGGGTGAGCAAATGCATATGCAGAGACCTACATTTATGCAAAGATCTTCTCAACTTGTACAAAATTGGACTCAACCTCAACAATTATCTAGTCAATCTCCAGCTAGACAACAATTCCCTGATCAATGTAAGTTTATTTTTATTTTTAAATTTGATTAATTATTAACCTATGTATTATTTATAGCTGTAAAAGTTGCAATTTTTAATGCTCCAGTGTTAACACCTCCAGCACAACCACCAGAAGTAATTAGTACAGAACAAGATCGTCAAATACAACTTGCTTATGAAGTTTGGCTTAATGAACAAAGTAATATTGTTACGAAACAATTAAAATATTATGAAAGTGAAGTCCAAAAATTAAGAAAAATGAGAAAAAGTATGAATAGTAAGCAACGTGTAGCTAGAAAACAAGGCAATGAGCTATCTGAACACGACTCAATAGAACTTCAGCGTATTACTGGAGAACAACAAGCTTTGCAAAAATTATTGGAGACCAGTCGTAAACAAAATAAACAGCACATGGCTATAATACAGGTAAAATTATAAGCACCGCAATACATTTTGTTCAAATTAATTAAATATAACTTATTTGTAGGAATATAAAAATAAACACCGTTCAACAACTACAGAAAGTCCACAGTCTCCAACTATAATGATGTCGCCAAACTCATCAGTTAGCGGTACTATTCAACATCAACAGAATTCTATGTCACCTCATAATAGTATCTCAACTCCTTTATCCCAAGTATGCTATCAAGTAATGTTAGAAAAATATTTTTTCAATTGATATAAATATCTTTTAATTTTTTTAGACAGAAGAAAACCCATTTAGTCCAAACAATCAACAATCACCGTTACCATCACCTAGGTCTAGCTTACCATCACCTCACTTGCGTAATCCAGGTCAATCGAGTCCTCGGCAAGTGGTACCAAATTCAAACTCTCAAGATCAACTATCAAGGTTGGTATATTTTAATATTGTTAATTATTACAAGACAAACCGGAAAAGAGTATTTAGGAAATATTTATCTATTAGTAAATTAATTGAAAAGTTATACAATATACGTATTTACATTTTTTTTACTTTTAATTGTATTATATATGAATTGTTTACAACAAAAGTGATGTAAGTTAGTATTTAGTCATTTTAAGATAAATAGACTTTAGCATTAATGATTTTAGTATAAATCTGTATTTATGCTTTCAACTTTGAAAGTATATTGGAGAGCATATATGTCAATGAATAAACATCCTAATTTTCGAATATTCAACTTGACCCTTCATTTTATAGTATATAGATAGGTTTTAAATTGAACCATTTTCTTGATTTACACCACTTTCATAACTGAAATTTGTATTGATCATTGGCTATTACGGACTTACACTATTTTATCTAAAAAAAAATATGTTAGAGATTACTGTGGATAAAAAATTGATAAATTAATTAAAATTAAATACTTTTTTTACTTAAGAAAAAAATTTAAAAACATAATAAACAAATTAACAATATCTTTTTTAATAAAATTATTAGAATAAACAAAAAAAAAAACAAAAAATTAGCACTTAATAATAAAAACAAAATAAAATATAGTTATCTTATGGTATGTTTACACTTGTGTGCTTTTTTGTTCGTTAGATGCGTGCATCATAGCACATCACTAGTTTGCATATAACTCATGCCCTTTTGAATTGAACGGCTACATTTTCATGACACCCGTTACAATATTAAAGGTTTTTAACCAAAGTTTTCCACCCTCAGTGGAAATCTGTTCAACATGCCATGCTTTTTATATTGTATTTCACTCTTATAGCTAAATATCATGTCGTTATTAACCCTACATCAGTCGTGCATTCTACTATTGTAGTACATTGATAATCAATTTAATTTTCGATGATTTTTAAACTATATAAACACAATTATACCATAAATACCTTTAAATGACATAATATTTTTGGTAACTCTTATGATTTCGGAATTTATCTTTCAGTATAGTTCTGTATATCAAGTGATTAAATTTTATATTCTATTAATGTAGATTATGTAACTACTTAGGTTTGAATTTTTACACTAAATTTCATATTTTGAACTCATGTAATTTTTAATAATTGAATTATTTTAAACTTATATTGTTATACATTATATTATATACAGTTTACTCCCGATTATCCGTGGAATAGGGTGGCAGGACATCCACGGATAAACGAATTCCGCGGATAATCTGCAAAATTAAATTTTATAATAAAAACTAAATTGAAAATTAAAATTGAAAATTATTATTACATATGTATTATTAAAAAAGATATACATGTATGTACAATGAATGTATGTACATGTATAATGAAAAATTAATAAAAATTATAAATTATTTATGTGCAAAAAAATCAGTCACAAGTTATTGTTTCTTTGTTTGAAAACTCTTCTTTTTAACTTGTGATTGAAATTTTTTTAATAACATTTTGTCACACAGAGTTGTATCGTCTTGTTCTTCTAGATATTTAATGATCCCGTCTATTTGTTTTAGAGCTGCTTCATGGCTCACTTGCTTTATTTCATTTACTTCATCGTTTTCTTCTTCTTCACCTTCACTTTCTGAAACTGTACCTAATGCTCCACTTACTATTTGTTCATCACTAAGACGCTCAAATCCTGGATCATTGGCATCACAATTTATCCATTCATACTAGAGGAGAGAATGTTTTCTTCGTCAATATTCTCTCCTTTAGTAAGAGATTTAGAAAAATTAGCCAATATACAATACGTATATATTTTTTTGTATACATAAAGGTATGTAGACGATATGATATGCATTACATTATTTAATATTGTACAATTTGATAAAAAAAAACTATACACTTTAAGAGGATTCAGTCATTTGAGCGAATCATTAATTTATGTTTTAATAATAAATTTTAATTGAAAACAATTGTGATTATTCTACATATGTAGATGCGTGACTACTCGGGTGAGATTGAACATCGCTGACAGATGCAGGATTAACAAATTAATTTTTGCTGGAACAGGTTTTCTAAAATGAGTGTTTTATTTTACTATTTCTGGTTTAATTATATTTAATATTGAGTAAAAATTTGCTCTGGACATTGCATATAATTTTTAAATAAATGACCTCGTATAGTTTGCAAATCATCTATTATAATTCCAAAATTTCAAGTTTTTAAATAATTGTTGACTTTAAAATAATGCTTCTTCCTACTTTTTTTATGTCCTCTTGCAATAATTAAATTGACTGTACTATTGCTGAGAAGGACATGTGAATCCGATAAGTTTTTTGTTAACAAACTGGAAGACGACTGATTTGTGATTTTGTTAGTGAGAACAGGAAAAAGCATGCATCTATTGCATTCAATAAAGACGCGTGTTAGATGAAAGCGGAATTGAATTTTGAAACACAAGTTGAATTGAAAATTGAAGTGGAAAGTGCACGAGTGTAAACATACCTTACTTATGCATTCGTTTTCAACTTCTTATTCATTTAGATATTCAACTTCAAAATTCTTATCTGCTGGTCCTACTTCTTGATTTAAATTTATGAAAAATAAATGATGAACGGGAATTTCAAGAGATTGATTATGTCATGTTTTTTAAGTTCAGTCGTTAGTAATGATTGTGAATATAAAACTCTGTTGAACATTCTGTCATATCACCATTTTAAGGTGGCTCATACTCTGATGGCGAGTGAGAGAAATCAACTATTAATTCTCTTTCATTGTTGGGTCCATTATACTTTTTTAAAAATTTAACAGACAAAAAAAAGAATGCAAACAAAAAACTCAAATTGAATCATTTTAATATTTTGTTTTTATTAACTTTATAATATTTCAATTATTTTAAACAATATATTGTGGTATTATCAGGCAACACAGATTTACGCTGGTCTCATTTGAATTAGCTGCTCTTTTAGTTAAGTAATGAAAATAGATGTTACATCATTTATTGAAGAATTTTGTTATTTGACTTATTTTATTTTTTTGTTATTCATCATCAAAATGATAATTTTTATAACCATAAATAAATATAGTACTTTTCATCGTTTTTCAAATAACATGACTTACATAACTTTAATTCTAACTAACTCATATTTGAAAGATATTTTAGTTAAAAATATATTACTAATATTGTTATTGTATTGTTAAATTATGTGTGAAGTAAGAAATTTATTAATTTTATAATCAATGGAATAAATATAACGGATGGTAGATAAAAATATTTATATTAGCCTACCTTCCTATTTACATTTTTAGATATTACATACAGACAAATTAATAAATTTTGAAATTGATGAGGATAAATTTGGTAAAGTTGACGGCTTTATATCAATTGTGCCGAAAATTGTAGGTAAAGAAAAAAAAATTATGGGATGGAAAAAAGGTATACATCTATTGCTCCAATCAATATTGGAATTAATACATTTTGCGATAACCTCATTGATACATATATTGATGAAAATGCAACTTTTCCTCCGTATCTTTAGTCATTGTGTAACATATCAGACAAAAGAACAATAAATGCCTGTGAGGCATTTCACTCAGTGTTTGGAAAATATTTTTATTCACCCCATCCAAATATTTTTGTTTTTATGAATTTTTAAAAATAATGCAACAATTATATACGTGTTCTCTTAGTTATCACAAATATACCAAACTCTAAATTTATGAAATAAAAATAATTCATTTTAATATTAGACCTAAGAACTTTTCAACATTTTTAGGATTAGTGTAAATATATATATATATATATATATATAATATACTATAAGTGTAAACACCAAGTATGTAGGATGATAAGTTTGATTTTAATTTTAATTTTTGTTTTTAGCCATTATGATTTTTACTTGTACTGTATAGTTGTTATACCGGCGCAATAGATGTATACCTCTTAAATATACCCTTTTTACACCGGCAGAATAGATGTATACCTTTTTAATATACCCTTTTTTTACTGGCGCAATAGATGTATACTATACAGGTAGTGTTTCCAAATTCGGCGCGTTTGACGAATATCGAAGTTGACTATCAATAATTAAATCAATAATAGATATAATGTTTATATAATATTTTTTTTAAAAAAAAAAAATACTCATTTTAATTTTAAATGAAAATTTGCAATTATTAATTATAATTATTCATAAAAAATAATTATATTTTTATAATCTCATTAATTCACTGGTATAAAAATTTAAAAAAATAATCTTATACTAATGTACAGTATATTGATTACTCCTATGGAAAGAGGTGAAGTGGTCGTTACAGTTGTAACAGCCGTTTGCTCACCAGGGAGCGACACTCTGTCTTGGCGTCGATCTCGCAACGTCTTGTACGATTGGGAGACGGCGCTTGCGTTTGTTTTATAGTTTTTTGTTAATTAAATTGTGATGTTAGGATAAGTGTATGTCAAATTGATTAAAACAATAAAAGGAAAGTAAACAAAACGTTAGAAATGGGATTAGAGACCGGAGAACGCGGTGTGATGTATTGCGAGAGACCTGGATTTGGTCGTGCGGAGACGATCGCGTTGTGCTTACGGGTCGTGCGCTCTGGTGATCAGATAGTGAAGCAACAGTCGTGATGGATTAGGTTAGGGTCGGCGACGATCGAGGGCAATTATGGACGCCAGGGTGGTGGAATGTAAACTCACGTTAAGTGGTGGGTGATAACGTCTCAGGTTTATGCGGTTGGATAGCTTAGTCGTAGAGCAATCGCCCGGCAAGTGAGGGCCTGGGTTCGATTCCTGGTCCGCCGGTTTGATTTTTGACGTTATCTTGTCCCAGGAGAAGTTAACAATATTAAGTTAGAGTTTTAGAGATAAATGTACAACTAATAATTATTTGAAGATTAATATTTACAATGCTGAGTATTCTCACATAGATTTATCCATTGTGCATTATATCTTGAGAATTGCCAAATTCTGATTTTTAATATTTTTTTTTATTTTATAAAAATATAAGATTATAATATAGTACTATATTATAATATAATACTAGACTATAATATTTAGTATTGTACTAGGTTGTTTAAATTCAGCTTTATAAATGAGAAAAAATGAAAAATTATTGATTTACATCTGTTTTAATCAAGTCTATTGAATCATTTTCATATATATTTGTAAATATATTTAATTTGTTGTTATTTATTATTGTTTTATATTTTTAATAGACATACAGGAATGACTCCAATAAGATTTGTGCGTTCGCCAGATGGGTTGACATTAAGAGCACGCCCAACTCTTGTATCTCTTCAAGGTCACATGCCATCTGTAAATTCTTCAAATACATATCAAGGTTCAAAGATAACAAATGTTACTATAAGTCAAGGATCTCAAATTCAACAGCCTCAGCAGATACAACGATTAACATTCCAACAATTAACTCCACAACAGCAACAGCTACTTTTACAAAGGAAGCTTGCTCAAAAAGCAATACTTATTTCTCAGCAACAACAAGAATTAAGTAATTCTGCTAATCAAGATCCATTAGATGTTCAACAACGTCAAATCCAATTAGCCCAACATCGTCAAATGTTATTGCAGCAAATTGAACAAATTCAAAAGCAAATGAATGATGGACAGAATCAGCAACAGAGACAAATACTTGTTCAACAAGCAGTACCTGGAAATCAAGATGGAAAAACAGAAATGTCACCTCAACAAAGACAACAAATTGTCATACAGAGGCAAAATATAATATTACAACAGCAACAACAATTCCAACAGGTACAACAAAATGTACCTCAACCACAGCAACAGATTTTACAACCACAGAATAATCAAAATCAAATACAAATGCAATCACAAACCAATCAAAATCTTATTCAAGTACAGCAACAACAACAACTACAGCAGCAGCAACAACAATTACAGCAGCAGCAACAACAATTACAACAACAGCAACAAAGTCCTGGACAAAACAATATGACTCAACAGCAAAAAATATTTCAGCATCAACAATTACAGTTACAAATAGCTAAACAGCAACATATTATGGCACAACACAATGCTCAAATTCAACAAAAATTAGTTCAACGTTCTCCTCAGCAACAAAATGTAATTCAATCACAATTGTCCCCTCAGCAGCAGCAGCAGCAGCAGCAACAACAACAGCAGCAGCAGCAGCAGCAGCAGCAACAGCAACAGCAGCAGAAGCAACAGCAACAACAACAGCAACAAACAGTATTATTACAACAGACTATTAAACAAGAACCTGGAGAAATTGTTAATCCGAATATTGTACGACAACAACAACAACAACAACAGCAGCAGCAGCAGCAGCAACAACAACAACAACAGCAGCAGCAACAACAGCAACAAATGTTATTGCAGCGCCAGCAACAATCAAGATTTCTTCAACAACAACTTATTTCTCAAGGCAAAGTCATTAGACAAATAGTTCAGCCTCAACAACAGTCTCCTATTCCTCCTCAAAGTCCGAATCAACCACCATTATCACCCATGCCACCACAGAGTCCTATTTCTAATAACCAACAGTACTGTCAACCAAGTAGCCCAATGATATCAGCTCAGTCTCCAATGTTATCGCAAAGTCCTCAGCAATTTTCACAACCGGTACAATCTCCTAATCCTGTACAGTTTAATCCTAATTCACCAATGCCTTCTCAAAGTCCTAGGCAAACTCAATTTGTTCAACCTACATCACCATTAATGCCCCAAAGTCCTATGGTTCAAGGATATACTCATCCTCCAGCAACCTCACCATTTGGTCAACCTCCTAGTTCGCCGAGTCCTAGGCCATCTCAAAGTCCAAGAAACAGTTTAGGCCCTCCTAGCTCACCAATGAGTCCTATGCAGCAAAATCCATACATAAGACCAACAACAAGTCCAATGCCTGCTAGACGAACAAATGTAGGTAGTAGTCCATTAATGCCAGATCAACAAGAACATAGAGAAGAAAATAATGTACCACCAGATGGATATCAATATGCAAAATTAGGACTTCGTGGTGGCAAAGATAACTTTATACCTCCTAAAGGATATAAGTACACTAAATTAGGTCTTAAAGGTGGAGCACCTATGTGGAGTACAGGAAGACAGTTTGTGAGTAAAGATTCACAAGATGAGGTTACTAGAAGTGTATTTAAAAGTAATGATATGCCATTAAGTGCGATACCAGTATCTAAAGTTTCCTCATTAGTATCTTTAGAATATGGTGATTCTGATGATGAAGGTTCAAGAACACCTCCAGTTACTTCTCCACAACCGCCTCCAATTCAAATATCCAAACAAAAAGAAGCTCCTAAAGGAATTAACACGGATCCAATGATTATTTCAACATCTAAAAATGAAAATAGTCGAAATTTACCAGTTTACAAAGATGTTAATTTGTCAGAAAACTGCAAAAAAGATACCATTGAGTTGGAAAATATACAAATGATTTCAACAATACATATGAGTATGGATCCTGGTCAAATATCATTAAACTCGAGTAGAGTTGGTGAAGAATTATTAGAAATAGATAGGGAAATAAATTCACCTGGTTTAATGTTGAATGAAAATGATGACAGCATTCTTGGTGGTCTTCCAAAAGATGAAGCTTCTGAAATGGATAGATTAATGTTTTTTGATGAACTTGGTGATAGTATTAAATGTGATCAAGAGGAAAAGAGCGAATCTCCTGAGAAATCTGTTTTTAATCTGGACAAATTATTAAATGATCCAGAACCACATATAGAACAAAAAGAAGAGCTCAAACTGGAAGTTCAACAAGAAAGTTGTAAGTCAGCTGAACTAAGTCAAGAAAATGAAGAAGAAAAAATTGATAATGTTATTTCAAGCTATTCATTTCATTCTTACGCAAAAGTTCCAAAACCAGCACCATCACCAAAAAAAGAAAATTGTTTAGCATCCATTTTAAAATCAGATCAACCAGATGATTTAAAAAAAGTTACTGACTTGCTTCGGTCCCATTCATCTAATCAAAATAAAAATATTATTATTTTAAACCCATCATCAGATGCATTAAAAGATCAACAAGTAAAACAAAATTTACTCTTAGCAAAATCTGAAAATCTCAAACATTCTGATTTAGCTCAAATTTTAAGTAATATCATGTCTCCCAAACAGAAAGATGGTTTCATTAAAATTGAAACTACAAAATCAGATGATAATATAAAACACTCAACCTTAGTTTTACCTGCACGTACAACATCAGTTGTACAAAGCTCACAAAATTTTCCATGGGAATCTATAACATCATTTACTACTGCAACTTCAACTACATATGCTAAATCTATTCAAATTATATCAAAATCTGGAGATAAAGAATCTAAAAATGGTTCTCAATCAATGGTAAATGTACCAAAACAGGAACCACGAGCTCCTAAAGTTATTGAGGAATCTCAAAATGTATTGCTGAAACAACTCTTACAAAACACAGCTTGCGCTAATCAAACTTCAACTTCTACAAGTTCTTTAAGTTTACCAATTGTTCCTTCTTTAGAAGCTCAACTTGCAAGACCAGTTTCGCCAACACCATCTTCATTGTTTCCTTCTTTACTATCACCAAAAAAAGAAGATAAATCTGAATCTCAACTTCAGTTAGTAAAACTTGAATCTGAACCTCTGGTTCAAAAACCTGAGTTGCAACCTCAAGTACCTCTAAAACCTGAGCCTATAGTTCAAGTTCAAAAATCTGAACCTCAACTTCAAGTTTTAAAAGTTGAGCCTCAATCCCCTAAACCTTTAGCTGTTCTACAGCGGTCTGAAATACAATCACCTGTTACACAAACTTCACCACAGCCATTGCCACCTTCATCATTACTTCAATCACAAACGCAGCTGCAATCACAACAACCTCAAATGCTATCATCTCGATCAGTTAAAACAGATTCAATAATGGAATCTATTAATTCAGCAATTAAACAAGAACGTATTGAAGAAGAATCTAAAAGTGAAATTCATGTACCTGCTGTTTTAGCTGGATTTAGTCCTGAAAGAGAAGTAAAAAGAGAAATTATGTCATCTGATGAATTAGTATCACCGCAAAATTCTACTAGAATAGTTGATCCAGCAGATATGAATAATTCCATAAATATATCAATGGATTTGTTGAATGCTGATACTCAAGGTGATTTTTCATACTTAATCTATGATAAGTTATTTTAAGTTCACTTGTATTTATGTTTGTTTTGTTAAATTTTAGATCAAAAGCGGAATAAACGTAGACAATATTATGCTAAACGTAGACAAAGTCAAGGGAAGGATGTAAGTTCTACAATTATTCCGAAAAAACGACATCGAAAGGTAATATTATTATACATTTTTAGGATAAAAGATAAATAATTTATGTATTATATTTATATTTTGAAGGGTTCTAAACCTGAAGAAGATTATGATTCTTTCATTGATGCACTTATGTCGCAATTACGACAGCACCAGCCAATGAATGTTATTGAGCCATCTTTAAATCAAAATTTAACAGCTTGTCCATTATTTGGTATGGGTGATGTAGTATCACAACAAAAGTAAGTAATTATTAATTGCATAAAATAATACATACAATACATACAATAAATACAAATGTGTTATTACTTAAATCACTTATTGATCTTAAAATTGATAAAGGATTAAGCCACTTATCAACTCACTAGTTCTTGGGCAAATTATAAATCAAGAATTAAGTAATGCAGTATGCCATGTTCATGTTAATTAACTAAATAAATGTATATATCTGAAATTACTTGATTTATATGTATTCATAATATATATTTTTTACTGTACATTTAAAAATGATGTACTGTATTAATGGTTTTTAAATATATCCATTTATATATTTATAATTAAGTAAAAACTGATAATTTTATTTTTAGTTTCAAAAGTGGTGACTTAAAAGGTAAAGTGGGATCATGTAATTTGCCAGGCGAGAGTGATTATTATAATACAAGGCCTTTTGGTGATTTAGAACCTGTTACACCATTACCGCAACCTTCTACTCAAAGAGGTTTTTACAATGAAGAGTTTGAACCTTTAAAATTTGAATCTGACAGTATGTTATCATGTTATTATAGTTACTGATTTTTTATTTTTTATGAATATGTTATGAATTATTATTGTAGATGATGAAAAAAAGTTTGAAATTGGGCGTGATCGTGATGATACTCCAGATACAATAATGAGTTCATCATCTCCAGAATTGGCAGTATGTGAAACTCCAACTCATTTTCCTGGTATTTATTTATTTATTTTTATATATTTAACTGGGCGAAACTAAAAATAATTATTTTATAGGACTCAAAAATTATGATGATGATAGTGATTCAACCGATACACTGTTAAATTTCACTCGATACATGTCTCCAGTTCATCAACTTATTGCTCCATTAGCTCTGAAACCTCGACCTAACTATAAAATTAATAATGAGGATGACAAAGAAAATCAAGGTTCAAAGCAAGGTTTGTTATCTCAAGTTGGAAAAACACCTCCACGAAGTTCTCCTGCATTGCCACTACGGGACTCCAATACAATGACAGTTACATTAACTATAACATCAGAAGCTGCTGAAGATATTATGGGAGTTCTTCAAGGTTTAGCCAATTTACTTGATTTACCTGATATTCCTAATTATAAAGTTACCGAAAGAACTGTTACCCCAATGTCACATAAATTAGGATTGTACAGATCTAAAACCAAAGATGGCAAAGAAGGAGTACCAGTAGATATTCAAACTATATTAAATGGTTTTGCTAAATTTTGTCGGCATTGTGATTTAGTTATATTAAATAATTTAATAAAGAAGAAAGCAAGCGAAATTCCTTTCTTAACTGTTGAAGAGTGCTGTGCAGATGAAATATTTTTCTGTAGTACCATGTGCTTTCAAACTTTTGCTTCATTGTTGCGCCCACCAGCTGAATCTCAAGATAAAGCAACTACTATTGTTAATCATTTATCTGAAGCTTCACCACCTAAACGTTTGAAAGTAGATCTTGAAACAAACAGTCCAATGTCCAATAAAACTGATTCTGTTGAAAAAATGGTAAGCTTATTATTTTTAAACAATTAGTATGATTTTAAATTATTTTCATGTATTTTTTTTCTTAGGAAATTGATGATACTTCATTCAATTTAGAAGAAATAAAAACTGAATCAACTGTTGAAGAAGTGAAAACATCACATAGGGGAAATGTCTATAGATACTGGAATTCAAATAGTGTTCCAGCTCCACTTACAAAACACAAAAAATCTACTGACAAAGAACTAATGGAGGTGTATATTGTTATATTTAATATAAATATATATTTTTTAAATGTTATATTTTGTTAAGAATTATTATAATTAATATTTATTTTTAAAGATGTTGTTTCGGATGGGAATCACTGTTACATCACCAAAATTACCTGAAGATAAACGCTTGTGTTTATTTTGTCATCAATTTGGAGATGGTGTTTCAGATGGACCTTCTAGGTATGTATGACTTATTTTTATATAATTCATAAATGGCTTTAATGATCAGTTTTAATAATATAATTATGTTTTTATAAGGTTATTAAATTTTGATGTTGATAAATGGGTCCATTTAAATTGTGCCTTATGGTCTGAAGACGTTTATGAAACTGTTAATGGGGCTTTAATGAAGGTTGATATTGCTTTACGTCAATCTCTTAGTGTGGAATGTATAGTATGTCAACGGCCTGGCGCAACACTTAAATGCTACAAACTTAGATGTTCCACTAATTACCATTTACCTTGTGCCGTCAAAGATGATGCTGTGTTCTATAAGAATAAGACTTTGTATTGTAGTATCCATGCTCCAAAGAGCGATAAAGAAAATGAGCTCACAACTTTGTCTGTGCATCGACGTGTTTACATTAATAGAGATGAAAATCGGCAGGTAGCTGCTGTAATGCATCATTCAAGTTCTCATCAGTTTTTATTACGTGTTGGTAGCTTGACTCTTCTAAATATTGGTCAATTGTTACCTCATCAATTAGCTGCATTTCATACACCTACTTCTATCTATCCAATTGGTTTTAAAGTGGTAAGACGCATAGATTAATAATTTGAACTCTTATAGATTTCACTAAACTGTATTAACTGTTTAGGTACGTTTGTTTTGGAGTATGCGATTACCTAACAAACGTTGTAAATACATTTGTTCTATTCATGAAGTTAATGCACGTCCCGAGTTTAGAATTATTGTTCAAGAAATGGATAATGAAGATTTAGAACTTAAAGATTCTAGTCCAAGGGCAGTTTGGGCAAAAGTTTTGTCAGCTATTGCTAGTATGAGAAGTACAAATAATTTGTTAAAGGTCCATCCACAACATGTGAGCGGTGACAGTTTATTTGGGCTTACTGAACCAGCAATTGTCCGTGTTTTAGAGAGTTTGCCTGGTAAATATTTTGTTAAATAGAAAAGTATAAATAATAAATTTAATAAAGCTCATATATGCATATTTTATTAGATTAATAAGATTGATATTAGAAACTACCAATTTTCAAAAAAAATATTATTAAAATATGACAATGGGTCTTATCTTAAATATAAGTAAAGATATCATAATTATTAATAAGGACTTATATTTACTTATACATACATATTTTTTTTGTGATCTAATAAATTAATTTTGGCAAGTGATACATTTGTTTCATGGGATTTTTAGTATAAAAAACCAGATTTGATTTTACATATTTTACATTTTCTTTTTTTTTCATATGTTTAGATAATTCGATCTATAGTATTACGCTTGTTCTTACTGAATCTGTGTGTTTCAGCTATACTTTCACAAGTAACACAATCTATTGTAAGCAAAATTGGCATCCTTATCATACATGTGATATGGTGCTATATAGATCCTAAAATGTCTGTCATGAATATGCCACTGAACAGCATAAAATGTTTCTATCTGAAAGTTCGGTGGTTATATTCTAATTACAATTTTTCAATTAAATATTCATAGGATTATACATTTAATAAATAAGACTGGTATTTATTTTGAGTTTTTTAGAACATATACATATTATGACTGTAAATACACGTAAGTCCTGTCCTGAGTTATAACAAATTATATTATTGATCATTATTTTCAATTGAAATTATTCAATTTTTTGGACTTAAAAATGTACTAATATCTTCAATTTAAGTAGTGATTAAAGTACTTAAAAGATAATTATTAGGCATTTTTACTTGCTGTTATATTTGTAAACTGTATTATGTTCAATGTTTATTTTGAAACGGAGTAATAATTATACATATTAAAGTACATACATATATAATTATGTACTAAAAATATTCATTTTATATCATGTATTTTTTCTAAAAATATTTTTGTTGAGTACAATGATATAAAAAAGTACTTATGCATTTTTATTTGAAACATTATTCTAAAATTAACAATTTTTATTTATTTAGGTATTGAAACATTATCTGACTATCGCTTCCGATATGGTCGTAATCCTCTCCTAGAACTTCCTTTAGCTATTAATCCAAGTGGCTGTGCTCGTTGTGAAGGTCGTAGACGAGTAGTTCTTCCTGGCAAACTGCGATCACATATACCTAGATCTTTTACATCTTCTCATGGTTCATCATTAATGAGTCAACTAGATCTATCAGCTCCGCCAACTTGTCCCTATTCTAAACATTTTGTTCATTCTAAATCTTCACAGTATAAGAAAATGAAACAAGAATGGAGAAATAATGTTTATTTAGCCAGGTAAATTTTATTTTATTAAATATAAAATCGGTTATGATCGAAAGTGAACTTCATAAACTTTTAACTAGGTCTAAAATCCAAGGTTTGGGACTTTACGCAGCTAGAGATTTAGAAAAACATACTATGGTTATAGAATACATTGGTGAAATTATCCGTTCACAGTTGTGCGATTACAGAGAAAAACTTTATGAGGCTAAGGTAATACATTAATTTTTATTTTATTTCATATGTGTAATTTATGAGTAAAATATGTTATAGAACCGTGGTATATACATGTTCCGCCTTGACGATGATCGAGTTGTAGATGCTACTATAAGTGGTGGTCTAGCTCGTTATATAAATCACTCTTGTAATCCAAACTGTGTTACTGAAAAAGTGGAAGTAGACAGGGAACTTCGTATAATAATATTTGCTAAGCGAAGGATTGCTCGAGGAGAAGAAGTAAGTTTTGCATAATAATAAATTCTTTTACATTTTTTCTTTAATATTTTAAATTATAAAATGTTCTAAAATATTTTTATTATTTTAGCTTGCATATGACTACCAGTTTGACATTGAAGACGATCAACATAAGATACCATGCAATTGTGGTGCTCCCAATTGTCGCAAATGGATGAACTGATTTAGTTGTAGCCATATAAGTATTTTACCATTTTTTTTTTTTTTTTAACCTTTTTATCAACGCAATACTTTGGGTATGTTAATTATTATGTTTATGTTATGTAATAATGTGCCCATATAACTTTACACAATTTCTGTGATAGGATCAAATTTTACACATTATATATAACATTTATAATATTAATGTAAATAACTAATGCAGTAGAGCAATAGATACAACATGCTATTTTTGTAATTATCTTAAATATTAATACAGTATGTATAAAATTATTGTATAATAATATATGTATAATGTAAATAATCGTTAAAGGACGAAAACAACAACAAATAATGATCTCTTTATTTGAGACAAGACTTGATATCATAAGTTTCTGTTGGTGTTTGTAAAAAAAAAAAAAAAAAAAATTAAAAAAAAAATTAAATAAAACAAAACTATAATGGGTGTTGGTGTAGTGAAAAAAATTGAGTGGGCATTTTATTTATCTTTTGTTTTTGGTTGACTTGGTTGACACAATTTTAGTCAATTTTTTTTTTTTTTTTTTTTTGTTAAATTGATAGCCTTATGAATGTTGTTATTTTTTTTTTTATTTATTCTTCAAATATTTATTTCTTTAATATTTTAATTTTATTTGTTTGTTTTATGTGTCCAAATAATCATTTAGCTTCATGCAATATTTACATATATATATATATATATATATAATACAATTATTTTTCTACTTAATGGCGAAATTGGTCCAATATTTTCAAAACCTTGTTAACTATTAAGCAACAATTAAACTCATATATATGTACTATATGTTTATCAGTATATACTTATATTTATTTACAAATATATATTCATTTTTCTGTTTATAATTCTTTAATATAATTGTATTATTTTCGCTGTTTTTAGATTTTGTTATGAGTTAAACCAAAATATTATTTTGATAAGTTTTAATTATTTACCCATAATATTAATATATATTTTGAATTTTGTTCTATGCATTAGATAAGGTTTTTAGTTTAAGATATGAATTATTATTTGAATTGTCACCATTGACTCAATATTATGAATTAGAGTTGTATTCTAAATAAATAAAAATGGCGAATTAATCATTTACTATTTGAGTTATTAATTTTAAAATATTATTATATTGTAATTATTTTGCTCACATTATACATACTGTGAACAATTAGACAATTTAAAACAATAAAAATCATATTGTCATTTATAATTAGTTAATTTTAATGTTTAAAAAAATTGTTTAACTGAGGTGGTGAACCTTTTTGGTTCTAGTGCCAAATTTTTCTAATTAAGGTTTGGAGTATTGTTCACTTATCCAAAGAAAATTAATTTTCCAAGAATAAAAATAAAATTACAGATTTATTACATTATTTTAATTAAATTTTAGTCATTCTTAGTGACAAGCATGATATAAGCAGTACTAATAGCATAAGTATACAAGCAGCAATTGTTTCATTTTTAAAAACATTTATTTTCTTAGATTTAGTTAAATTTGTTGTGGCCTATAAGCTTTCACAAACATAAGTTGATGAAAAATATGAAAGCATTAGGCTTTCATAAAAATATGAAAGAATTTTTAAAATATATATAATTTGTTACTTTGAATTTCTTATAACCAACATTTTATAAATTTATTTTGTGTACAATTTTTAATAATTTCAATTTTTTGCGCGTGCCATCAAAATTTGGTCAATGTGCCACCTTTGGCAAGTATGTCATAGGTTCGCCATCCCTGTTATATGACCTTATTTCTTATGTTATTGTTGATCAAAAAGCATTAAGACTTATTGAAGTAACAAATTTGGAAGAGCTCAAAAAATAGGTTCAACATTACTAAAATATATGAAAGCGCAAAATTGATTATTTAAAAGCATTTTACTAAAAAATTTTAAAATATAGTAGTAAAAATAGTCTTAAACTAGTAGTTACTCCTGTTGTAACTTGTACAAGGTAATTAATAATTATATTTTGAAAATATACCAAATTATTAATGAATGTTAATTATTGGAGTTCTGGGTAAAATGAAAAACTATGTAAATGGTCCCAAGTTTTACAGAAATAAAGTTGTTTTGTGGTTAATATTATTGAAATAATATTGATATTGATATTAATATTGGAAATATTATCATTGATTATAGTTACTTAGTATTCGTATTTCATAATTAATGGTATTATTAAATTAATAAGTGTTTTATTTTAAAATTATTAAATATTACAAATATTTTAATTTTGTATTAATTCACACAATTTATTTCTAATTTTGTTATTTAATATTTTTCTTGTAATATTTTTGTAGAATCTTAAAATTAAAAAATTAAAAAATTTAAAAAAAATCTTAAAATTTAAATTTTAAATCATAAATCATTAATGTAAAAAATATTTAAACTGTAATGTAAATTAAATTTTTAAATCTATTTGTCAATGCTGTTGGTTTCCTAAGGGCACGTGAGACTCGAGATCTAGGCCCATGATCGACGGATACTCTAAAAAATAAAATGTATATCATTACGTTTTAACATACTGTCGTAACCTATCTCAACTAAGTATTTGATTTTCAGGATTAAATAATGAGTTATAATTTTCAATACAAAATTGTAATGTCATAAATACGAGTAAATTGTAAAAAGTTAAATTTAAAGTGGTGGTGGGGCTGTGTAACATTACGTCAGACCCACCCTTAGAAAATACGACTTTCTGGAAAAACTGGTACAGCAGGAATTCTGAAAATATGGCAAGATTTGGCAGGAATTGAGCACTAATTATTGGCGCAAAAAAATTGCAAAATTAAAAATTGGGTGGGCTGGGGTAACGTACGTCCGGTTACCTTTATTATCATATTTCGTATTATAAAATAATATCGTTGATACGTTTTTGAATAAACCGGTAGGCCTAAAAATATCGTTTCAAATTCCAAATGTTTGTTATAATTTTGAAATAAATAGGTAATGTTAAATAATAATCGTAATTTTTCTTCTAAAAGGGCCCCTGCATAGCCAACAAATAGCTCTAAACCCCACGCGAACGATCATTCTTATGCACGAACAGTGTTTCAAAGTATAGGTACATATAAGAATTTATTATGTGACAAAATAGATTTACTAATCTAAATTATATGAAATAAGGAAAAATAATTATCATATAAAATTAATTGTAGGTAACGTCCAAATATGAACGTATTCTGTTAAAAACTTATATAATTTGGTTTTTATAATCGGTATATTTTATGGAATCATTATTGTAAATACAATAATGATTCCATAAAATATGTGAAGGATTGTGATAATAAGACAATTATTTAACCGTGCAATAGTTGAAGTGCATACATTTTCTACTAGCTCTAAAATTATATTTATTCTCAAATACCGACTAGTTAGGTTTATATGTTTGGGTCCAATCCGTAAGCTCGAATATAGACCTTCTTTGACCTGTTTTACGAAAGTCGTCATTCGAAGGTCACTAAACTTAATAAAAACGGCCTAATATTTTAAGATTAAGTTTTAATTATAACAATTGTTGGTCACATTAATATTATTACTTATAACTGCAGTTATAAATAAGTATTACTGTACTTGACTGTTGCATAATCGTAGATCTAATATTTTATCTATAATCTAGTTCTTACGAACCTTTGATCAGTCACATAAAGAAATATATAACAGTAACCAATAATGTAATTCACTAAGTCATGTGAACCTACATTTGGTAATATGTTCGTTATTAATTATTTGTTATTAGTGGATAGACACAATGGCATTGGCGTATAAAGGGGGAGGGCTTAGTGAGCTACAGTCCCCCCGAAATATTTTAAAAAACTTAAAAATTATTTTAAACGTTTGTTATATTTTAATGATGCTTTATGCCAGTGGCGTTTCTAGACCCTTTTATAGGGGGGGGGGGGCGAACTACATACATTACCTATATATATGAAAATACACCAATTACTAGGTGTTTTACCTGATTTAACTCGGGGTATCTAATGTCATTAGGGCATCTAACATAGGCATAATTATAGATACAAAAAACAAAGTTTAATTAACAGAGTCATAGTATTAAAATATTTGTGTACATATTAAATTATTTAAATGTAAATTAATGAATATTAACACACAAACAAATATTATTTTTATTGATTAGATCATCTAATTTAGATGTTTAGTAAAAAAGCAAAAAAAAAAAAATGTACAAATCAAAGAGTAAAATCGATTCTGTGTTTAGATTTAGCAAAGCGATTAATTATATTATCAATATCTAAAGGCACATTGCATAAATTTTTTTCCTAGTGTTATATTTTAATATAAATAATGAATATTTTAAGAAAGAAAATAAAGGTCATGGAGGGGGCGACTGCCCCATTCGCCCCCCCCTTGAGGACGCTCCTGCTTTATGCTTCTTTAGAATTTGCATCTAACGTCAAATCGTTTTGGGAAATTCTGTAAATGAAATGTAGATACTACAGTAGATACTAGAAGTACCTATTATTTCTTGTTAGTAATTCTTAGATAGCAGTGGTAATTTAACTTTGTTTATAGTAGCCCCTCCCGAAAATATTTTCTGTATGCGCCTCTGCACAGTGGCGTCATTTAAAGAGGGAGGGCAACTAATGCATTTGCGACAGTCTATAGCAGTGGTTCTTAACCTTTTTTGGTTTAGCGCTCCTTTATCGTAAAAACTTACTGCTATCACTCCCCTTATTTAAAATTAAATTGTCTTCCTATAAATATGTATATGTATTTATTTATTTATTCATCAGTGTACTAAATTAAAGTAAAAACTCTTATTTTAAGAAAATAGTAATGGTTATATTTTACTCCACTTAACAAAACAATTTGACTTCACTTTACAAAAAGATTTTACATCACTATAAAAAAAAAAAAATTTAAAATATAAAAATTATGCTTATCAATGACTGCCCTGAGCCTGATGAGTAGTTGCTAATGTAGCGATGTCTGGTTCGATGTTGGTCAAAGCTAAACGTAGATCACCTTTGTTTTAAATGTCCAACCGATTTCTTTATTTAGTCAAACGCTGAACAACAACGCTGAATCCTTTTTCAACTAGATACGTTGCCGGGAAAGAAAGAAGCAAAAATTTAACTTGTTGCCATAGTTATAGATAAGTGTCTTAAGGCTTGTCCTAGGCTAGCTTGTAACCGACTAGCTTAAAAATAAGTTGTGTCTCACAGTCGTGTTTAAGATTGATAAACTTCATTTGTAAATAAGGTTCGAGATCTTCTACAGATTCAAACGAAGATGGATATAAAATATAATTAGATTGTAACTCAAGTACCGTTTGAAAAATCGACGACTCTTTGGTATTAGTGATCAAACTTATATCAAACAATACTTCCTCGACAACTTATTATTTTTATTTTTAATCTCCGAGTTTGAAAAAGCTCACCACCCCCTTAAAAATGATCGTCCCCCGGAGAAACCGAAATTCCCCCAAGGGGATGGTATCACCCCCGTTAAAAACCACTGGTTTAGAGTTCAGCTAATCCAAAGTCGGTACATCATCAAAATACTCATATAAATACGTCTTTTATAAAGCCATTGTTCAAAGTAGGTACATGTTATAAATCAGAAAATGAAAATATACGGATACTTATATACAAAGTACAAATCATTATACTTTTGGACTGGATTGACGTACCTTCCTTCTTCGTTAATCGGCATTTTAATCGGAAATTTAATAAGAGTAAGTCGACTGCCACATTCTAGAAAAAACTGAAATGATGCTATTGCATAGGCGTATTGAGCAACGCATGGACGATCGATTAAGTCACCATATTCATTTATCCTGTTATCGCGTTACTTTGTTTTTTCTATAATGACGTCCATTTAAATTTTTCAGGGTAAAAAACATGGTATTTAATGAGTCATCCGAATAGCCAAACATGTATCCTTTGTCCACAACACCGTGTTGGAAATGAAATAGAAAATCAATTAATATTAATAAAATTATTTAAATATTAATCAACTGCCTACAGGCTACGTTGGTTGCACATTGTGTATGAATATACATACAGCACTGCGATCATTTCACACTATAATATATACACTACTGCTTTAATTTGTTTTTCATTGCATGAAAACAACGCGTTGTGCTCTTTTATATCTAGCATCATCATTTAGGCCCACACGTGTTCGATGGTCGTTTCTTGACACACGTATAGGTGTACCGCGTGTGTCGAGTCTAAAACATTGTCATAACTGGCCGGCCACGTGTCGTTATCATTGAGTTACCGGGGGATGGTCGGAAGGCGGTTGTAACACTATCCCCTGAGAGAAGCGTTTACCTGTTGGCGCAAGCAACTTCGAGTTTCAGATGAATTTTGATATCGATAGGAATTTAGTTTGTTCACATCAGTTTATTACATTTTTATACACACACAAGAGTGTTTCCTGTTGTACATTACCGTTAAATGATTGATCAATAACTGTATTTTAATGCTCGCAGTCAATTTGGTCATCTATTGTTAAACATATTTTATAAAATTGTTAAACTTACAATTTCGATTATTGTATTGTACATTTGCCGAGTTTGACCACCAATAGAAAAAAAAGTAAAAAGTAAAATATATATGAAAAAGTGAAAAATAAACATTATAAAACACTCAATAGAATGAAAAACATACTGCAAGGTTTTATAATATTTTGATATATTTGAATTCGATTCGCATATTGACAGCAATTGATTGTTAATTTGTAAAATAAAAATTTGAGATCGATCAACTACAACATTAAGTTATAAAATAAATTATATAATTGTATATATATTATATTATATTATATATACATATTCAAATTATTTATTGAACAAGTATTTTGTATTGAAAGATAATATAATGATACTATTATTATTTTTTCGATTCAAAATAAGATTTACGGAGTTGCATTTAGTGTTTGTTTTAGAGGAACAAGTAAAAGTTTACAAGACCTGTTGAGTCGGGAAAATATTAATAGTTGTATATTACTTTATTTTTTAAGTTTGATGAACTGAAAATCTCACACAAAGTTTAGTTGCAGATCGAACAATAAAATAATTTTACCTAACCAATATATTCCATTACTATATAGTATAATTGTACGTCATAGTTGTATTGAGAATTTCATATTTATGCTATTGTATAATCAACAGCGCAATCATTATTATAAAATATAGTAAGAGGAAAATGTTTGTCTGAGGAGGGATATTTATTTATTTTTATTTTTTTTTTTAAGTCTAATCGATATGTCCAACGGTAATAAGAATATGTCCGAATTAAGAGAACAAAAAGTATTTAATTTCTCGATTGGTTCCGTCTTTATATGTGGTCGTCGTTGCTAGGATGTTCATTTTTGCGATCGTTGTATACTTGTACCTAAAATAGATCACATACACACACGTTTAGTATTCAAATTTTAGTTGTTATAAGTAAAATATAAATATAATATGTATAAAGTATACGTATAAATAACCAAACTATGTATATAGTGACGTAGCTTAATTAAGATTGGTGGTGCCTTAAATCTGTTCAAATACACCCGTCCATCTCTAGTCCGCTCAATGTAGCTTTGTGCATCTTAATGATTTGTTAACTAACATACAATTAATTTTATAATTTATATAAAAATGAAACCAGGCAAATTACGATTACAACCCATATTTACAATTTCATTAATTTGTGGATCGTCAAAATGTAAAGCCAATGGTTATTGCTTTTATAATTTCTGTGTAATTAGCTACATTATTACATTAAATGTTTCATGTGCGTTTTATAGATGTTACAGTGAGACAATTACTATAAAGGAATCATAACAATGTATATATATATATATATATATATATATAAACTGTTTGAAATACGACTAAACTATAATAATCGAATTTAATGTTTGATTATATCTGAGGTCAAATTAAAAAGGAAAAGTTAAGTAAAGAATAGTTGCTTATAAACATCGTCAAGCCCTTAGAAACTAAAATAAAGTAAATGTTTAATGATTAAATTAAACAAACACCACCCGTTAGAACTTGTTAACTTCCATAAGTCCCATCCAAGACATTTAACTCTTCTGAATACGCCATTGCACGTATATAATATTGTTACTTGATTTTTTTTATTTACGATAGTATTGAAGTTAACAGAAAATTACATGATATTTATTTATTATATAAGTTTAAATAGTTTGTCATAATTTTCAACATATTCAAGCAACGTAATAGTGTTATGATAAAAAAGTCTCAACGATTACGTGAAGTTTTTTTCATAATATAGGTGTTACCTATATACTTGTATTTATACCTATTATTAATGTTTATTTGTTTTTCTATAAAACATATTAAAATAATTGATGCTCACCCATTTTTGCCAAAACGGTGTAAAGTGCGGTGAGGATGCCTTCATTTGAAAATATTTGTTGATGGCATCATCAATCTGAGTGTCGTCTTCTTTTGAAGCAAGCCAATCTCTCGCAGGCTGTTGCATGGGTATTTGAAATGACCGTTTTCCATGGCCGCCATAACAGGAATGACCAAACATAGCACACCCACCTAAAAAAAATGATGTACAATATTTGATGTTATTGAAATTCGTAATATAAAATATATAAACTCTGAAAAATAAAAATAATGATCTACTTTTCACGAAAAGGATAGCATTTCCAGTAAGATCGATTTTATTAAAAATACGCAAGATAGTATTATACATACAAATAGTACATCAATTTAAAATATGAAAGTGGAATATTGGCATGTATGTATCGACCAATATCCCGTTATAATTGACGAATATTATAATAAACATTAATGCACTCATTCCTGTGAATGTATCATGTCATCATATCATCCATTTTTACGTTTTGTTAATTAATTTAGATGAAAATGGTGCAACGTTTACTAATTTGCAATACGTTACTCTGCGAAGCTATTGAAGTTATTTGTACAATTAATTAAAATGTTAACCATGAATTTATGCGTATCAGCTACAATAATAATATAATAATGCATTAAACATTTTAAGCGACGATTAACTTGTTGAAAAAAAAATGTAGTTTAATCGTGGGTTATCCATTTATCGTATTATAATATTTTATTCATCATTTTTAAGTTTTGGTCGTTTTATTTGTTGTGAGTATGATGTACGATTCAATGAATGTTTGTGAAATCAAATAAACTGTAATTTTGTATTTATAAAACGGTAAAAAAGAGGACGCGCGTGTGTGATTATTACTTACTCGAGTAATATAAATACACAGTTCCATAATTTGCTGCATTAAACTTAAATGACTTATAATTCCCCTTATAAAGTATTGCTTCGATTTTTTTATAAGTTTACGTTTTCAGAAAATATCTAAAGATACCCTGGGAATGAAAAAAGAAACGGTTGTCTTTGTTGCAAATGCTTGGGTTTTATTGTTGTAGCACACATATCAATTATGAAAAGAGAATGGCCATAAAACTAATAAAAAACAGCGTCGAAATCGACCGAATAAATGATAATGTTCGTGCATCGAACCCGCGTGTCGAGTATATAGAGTGGATTTTACTTATTATGATAATATGTCATTGCAGTTCTCTATAATAATATACACATATAAAGGTGGAGAGGGCGATATAAATACGTATCCACCCCCAATTATGTATCAATAATATAATACGATGGAGTTTACGTCGCATTTGCCAGATCATTTCTCTCTCGTTTTTGGTGAATTTAATTAGGCGTAATAATAATAATAATACAAAGGGGTGACGGGAGCACCGAGTTGTGAATATCGTTACTCGACATTGTTATGCCATTGAATCCATTGTTTTAACCGACGTGTGCGTGTATGTTTTTCAAAGGCGCGCCGAGTTATTTTCAGAATTCAATCCCTTTTCATTGTTAGCGTACACCGCTACATGCACCAAGTGTATGCGTGTGTGTTCATGTAACACATAAGCGTTTGTCACATGCAAAATACAAAAACAGGCTTGCCCTCCGAGCATTTTAATCGGATCAACTAGTCTAGATATTATATATTATATACGTTACGAGCGCGAGTATAGTGTATACCTCATTATACAAGCTTATGTCAGAAAGGGCACGTGTTTTCTGAGCACTGAATATAAAATAACAGAACTTGTGTGAGCTTGTATACGTGAATGTGAACGAAGGTGTAAAAAAGTGTTTGTGTGTGTGTGTTCCGTAATTACGCGAGCCAACTATATAAACGGGTTACCTTAAATTTGCCATATGAAAAAAAAACCTTAAATTCGGATTTTTTAAGCAATCATTTTTTAAATTTTTTATGACAAATCTCAAAATGTATTTTTATACCCTATTATATTTTGTTCATATATAGGTACAACTATGTACCAGAGCTGTTTTGACCGGAGGATTTTTTAATTTTAATTAACAGTACCGAGTTATGGTTTGAATGGCATGCGTAATAACATTAAGCTGAATTCGGTTTACTCTTTGCGTATTTAGACGATGTCGTCTATAAATGCTCGATCAATTATATATTTTGTAATATTTTTAACTATTTTAGACTTATCTACTCCATTGTGGTCTCATCTGGGGTTAATTTTAGGAATTGGACCTCCAATGCTTTCTATGAAATAACACTCATTTTAGAATAAATAAAAATAAGAGCAAAAACTTATATCTATATCTATAACTATATCAAGTGAGATTACGGCCAGGTGAAATTCAGGTTAGTGATAATAATATATAAAATTAATATAATATATAATGATAATTATATAATATAAAATTATCTGTATTTCAATTATTGATACTGCTGAATTGGCCTTTTGAATTTACCATTACTTTTGAAAAAACGGTTCTGGATGAAAGAGTACGGGAAAATCAGTTTATATTTCTATAGTTAATTTAATAGTATAACTAACATTTGCAAAAAAAGAGAAAAAGGCATCTTGGTAGATGAATAAATGAAATAATTGTTTTATTACTATTAGTATTAATACCACAAAATCGGCTATAATATCGTAGGTTTAATTATAAAAAAATGAAATAAAATAAAATAGTTAAAATTTGTTGAACTACCCGATTTCTTTAAAATGTTTATTTTTAACGTCTACAAAACTTTTTTACTGCTTACAAAGATAATTTTTTAAAATCTTCTAATAAGGTTATAAAGACATAAATATTAAGATAGTTGAAAGTTTTACGCACTTTTAACAATAAAAAGTTACGGAATTTCATGATTTTTCTCTGGTTTTGTTAACATTTAACAATAAAATGCTCATAAAATATTTTTTTAATTTTCAGTAAGACGCATGTGTGAGGAATTTTGTATTACATTATTAAGCTAAAATAATTTTATCGACATTTTAAGAAAAATGCTAAGAGAGCATGCAATTTTTATATACATGTTTGGATCGTTCAAAATCTAATTTAGTTATTCATCAATATATGCCGGTAAATCGCGTGGTAAAACAATTTACTCTATAACTTATTTATTATTTATTATATGGATTCGGAACCATACATATAGGATTATAACAGATGGATTGGATCTGAAAATGTATACTTTAATTCTACATTTTCATTTCCACCATATTAGATGGTATACCTACACAGTGTAAAGATATTGAATGAGAGGGTGTGTGAGTATATATTTGTGCTGGTATGTGTATGCGGGCGTGTGTGTGGGTCAGTGGGTGTTTGTAAGAGTGCGTATGTGGATATGTATGTTAAACGTCAATGGCTATGAGGGTGCCTGTCGAAGTGAGTGTATATGTCATATATATAATCGTATATGTAAACATTTTTTTTTTTTTTTTATGAGGTATTGATTATGGATGAATTAATATAAAAAATGTGAGAGTCAAATAAAACTAGGGGATTACCCCTAATCATCCCAAAATTGAACTTTTGGGTATATATGTGGACCCATGAATGTTTGTGTGTGTGAACGTGTAGATGGGTGTAGATTTATATTTATGTATGTGTGTGTGTGTGTGTGTGTGTGTTTGTGAGTGGTAAGTGAATTTTTAAAATATTTATAAATAGTTAAAAATAAATTGAATCATTTAAAAATTATCAATCGTGAACAATGACATAAATATCCAGTAAAAATGTTAAATCTGAAAGAAATTAATTTTTTCGATTTACAATGTAAAATTGATTTTGTTCAAAACCAAGATACAGTAAATATTGTTATTTTTTATTTTTCGTCAGTTTTTTTTTTGCAGTTATTATGAAAGCTATTGAAAATATCGTAAAATTACCTTCTCCTCAAAATACAAACTATAGACAAAATTCACAATTAGAAACCTCTCATGGTTGTAATAATTGGAGTAATCCTCCTGGTCAAAATCTTTTAAACAAAAATAACAAATTAAAAAATTAAAAATAAGAACACATATCATACTTAAATCAATAGCTTCCTTGATTCCAGAATCTAAATAAGTACCTATATAATTAGATTAATATATAAGACCATATAAGTATATATAAACAAGAAAACTTTCCTGAAAATAACTCATGAGTTTCTAAACGAATTCCAAAAAACATACGAAAAATATACGAGTATAAATAATAAATATGTAAAGATATACATAAAAAGAACATGTATAAAAATATACGTAGGTATATAGATATCGTATACTGATGCCTCTAAAAGCAACGAAGGGGTAGGAATATCCATAATAAAAAACAATGCACAACCATCGTTAAAATTACCAACAACATATTCTATAGGTACTATATTTAAGTAGTAAAGTACTATAATTCTATACAGCTGAAGTAGTAACTATACTACTAGCCATAAAGTATATAAACAAAAACGAAAATGAAAAATATTTCATAGCATGTAACTCGTTAAGCTTCTTCATTAGTATAAAAAACAAATTTAATTCTAGTGATATTACAATACAAATTCAAAATCGATTAGAAGAAACAAAAAAAAGACAATAACATTATTTTAATCTGGATACCTGGACACAAGAATAATCGGCAATGAAAGTGCAGATAAACAAGCCAAACTAGCAATCTGTTCACCGGGATTAATAGCATATAAATATTTTCACATACATAAATATAAGAAAACGATATATTTTCCAACTTTTACGCGCTCCTGAATTTTTCAAGTTAATCAAAATACTAAACCTAATATAGCAAAAATTGAAATATACATAATCAACTAAATAATTAATTTAAAACGGTATTTTTTTTTCTCAAACATTTAAACGTAGCATAAAATATAAAATACAAATAAATGTAATGCTAATAGCCTAAGTAGTCGGAGCAGACATTTCTACATTTTCAAGACCAAAAAAAAAAAACCATACATTTTACAAAAATTATTCATAATATTATGTAATTTTGTCCATTTTCTGGGTAATCGTCGTTATTGACGAGTCATACACATTTATATAGGCACTTTTAATAATTCTAGTTAACGATGATCATGCAAATCGTATTAGTATTTACAAAATGTATATTTAAAATTTGAATCTAGAAAAAAAATAGCCATTAAATAATGATCTTCCCCGAAGAATTTCGATTTTATCTACACGGAGACTATGAATGATCGTCAAGGATA